GGATGTGTTTCCATGGCCACCAGAGTATGGATTGATACCCTACAGGACAGCCAGGGCTTGTTTTTACCACAGCTGGCCACTAATGATAGCAACTGATAAGCCAACCGGGAAGTCATTAGGACATGTTTTACAAACCACAAAGGCAAACATATGGAGTACCTTCTGCTAAAGCAATTCCCCAGTTAAAAATATATAAAACAAGCCTGGGCACAGTGGCTCACACCTGTAACCCTAGAATTGTAAGAGGCCAAGCAAGGCAGGTGGATTGCTTGAGCTCAGAAATTAAAGACCAGCCTGACCAACATTAAGACCCTGTCTCGAAAAATAGCCAGGTATTATGTTGGGCACCTGTAGTCCCAGCTACTTGAGGGGCTGAGGCAAGAGAATTGCTTGAGCCCAAGAGTTTGAGGTTGCTGTGAGCTATGATGCCATAGCACTCTACCAGGGTGACAAAGTGAGACTCTGTCTCAAAAAAAATAAAATAAAATAAAACACCAGACAAAACAGTTGCAAAATGTAGACTTCATGATTTAAAAAGGTTGTTTATACATATCAACAAACATAAAAAGAGCCCCACATCTGCCCAGAGTGAGCCGAGTGAGTGCCTGGCTAGCACCACCACTGCCACTCGGAGCCACCTCACCTCCGCCTACCAGAACACAAAGCTCAATACAGTCTTCTGGCCACTTCCTGTGTGAATATGAAAAAATGACACACCAGAAAGGTGACCCAGACAGCGAAATTCATGATCTATTTTTGAAAGTAGAATAAAATGTATTCAGTAATTGTCTTCTGAATTTTGAATCTTTCCACAAAATTAAAAAGAAATTCTAAGAATAAATTCTGCAAATGAATTGCCAACTATAAAACTTATTTCAGATACAACTCCCCCAAGGGAAAAAAAAAAACACCCATCGAAAGATCTTATCTCAGATTAGGTGAAGAGAACAATCCTGTGTTCACCACACATGACCAACGCAGGGCCTCATCGGCAAGTTCCCAGCAGGCTCACGTGGGCCCAGCCTCTAGGGGAAACGTCTTGTCAGGTGTCAGCGCAGACACTCATGGGAAAATCCAGCAACTGTGGAGGGCCACATGCCAGGCACTGCACGGAGCTGTTCTTACACGCAGACCTCACTGGGACCTCACAACCCAAATGACATCTGGGACTCTGCTTCCTTCTTAGGGGTGAGAAAATGAACTTCAAGGGGAAAGAAAAAACTCAGAGTCCCTGGCCCAAAAAGGGTAGAGACAGACCTGCACCTGACAGGCGGAGTCCAGCCTCTCTGCTCAACTGTCTGCCAAAACTGGATTCTCACAAAAGGACCCTCACAATCAGGCTAGAGTAAACCTACCTATACAAGAGAGAAAGGGAAGAATTTCCCAGGGAAGCACTGCAAGGGGACAGCGTGAACCTCGGTGTGCATCAAACACGGGACAAAGTGTGCTAAGAGCATCAGGGGCCTCAGCAGTGAGTGACAGAGGAAGTCGTCACAGGAATCCAACAGGTGCAGCACAGGTAAGGGTGCCTCCAGCTGTGTACATGGAGAAGGGAACAGGGGATAGGAAGTGGGTCAATAGGAGAGAAAAGACAGCAAGCAACAATGGGTAGAGGGGCCTCACTTGGAATCCAGCATCTAGCATTCTGCTTTGGTCACCTCCTCTCTGGGGACACAGAACTAGAAAGCACTGGAAATGCACTCTGTGGACTTTCTAGGGACCAGGGCGGCCACACTATCTGTCACTTATACATCTCTCTTTCCAGCCAAAAGGGCATTAAGCCTATTTGTTTCTCCTTCCCCAGAATTCAGAAGACCACTGGGGAAGGGTTTTAGAACCTACTCTGCAGCAGGACAGCTGAGTGTGCTGCCCTGCAGGGAACCAGCAGGACGCTGTGCCCATCACTTCCCCAGCCCCTCTGTACCGTGCAAACACTGAGTGTGAGGACGGCCACAGGGAAGAGGCCACCAGCAGGCAACACCATCAAGGGAGAAGAAGTTACCTTTTCCAGTCAGTATGTGATGTCTCTAGTCCAGTTGGCCTCTCACATCCACCTTCCAGACTTTTCCACCCTACTCACTGCTGGTGGGAGCTGCATGTACCACACTCAACCTTCTAGCTTCCAGAATGCCCAGAAGTGGTCAGAGCCAGGGAGATCAGAGGGAAGGAGGACAGGGGAGTGGTTGTAGGTGACTATTCCTTCACTGTAGAGCTGCTGTGGGCCAGTGGCCCCTCGCCAGCAGGGCACAACCCATCTCAAGGCCACTGCTCTGTGCGCCCTACCTAGCTCTGAAGACTCTTCCCCCCGTCTGCAGGTCAGCAGTCATGCTATTATTATGGGCAGTCAGGGCTCTAAGGCTGGAAAAATAACTTGGGGAAATTCTTAAACCCTGCAGTTTGTGATTCCACTGTGCCCAACCCTAAAGGAACTGGGTCTGTGCATCCTGCTGAGTTTTCCTACATCTGTGCTAAACTGCAACAGCACTTTCTAGTAAATCCTCCTGGGGCCTCTTCATTTCAAAATGCC